CTATAATTCTAGCTATTCAGGAGGCAGAGATTGGGATGATTGCAGTTTGAGGCCAACTTCGGCAAAAAGTTCATGAGGCCTTCTTAACAGAAAAGGCTGGGTGTGGTGACAGGCACCTGTCATCCCAGCTAGCTAGGAAGTGCAAATAGGAGGGCCACAATCCAGGCTGGCTCAGGCAAAAGCAAGACCCTATTTCAAAATAACCACAGCAAAAAAGGGCTGGAGGCCTGCCTGGCAAATTGGAAGCCCTCAATTCAAACTCAAGTATTGCCCAAAACAATCAAACAAACAAAAAACAACAACAAAAAACCCTAATATGATTATTCTGTATTATTAGTAAATATAATCAGAAATCTATGACTTCTATTTAATTTCACTGATAGGCAGATGTTTTCTAATATTGATCAACAACCAAGTCATTTAATGGCAATAATTCCTTTCTCCCTGTCACTATTTTTTTTTAAATCAAGAACATAAGCGAGGGGTGGGGGATGGGGGGAGTGGGATGAGGGGAGAGGTGGCCTAAACAGTGTATACACATATGAACAAATGTAAAAAGAACATGTCATGTTTATATTACTGTGTATGTGTAATAGATAACACAGAGGGTTTTTGGTTTTGTTTTTTTTCTTAGCATGAACACTGGTAATTTCACTTTTGAGAGCACTACCACCTTCTTTCTGCAGGCTTGTTACACCAGTAGTCAAAACATATAATGTTTTCCTAAAGATCAGTGCTATTAATGTGAACCAGTTACTCTATAGCATTTGTTACTTGATAACCTAACATTATTTTTTCTGTGGGTTGTTGTAGTTTTCATGATGTAACAAAACTTGTTTGTGTTGATACTGAATGTTCTATTGTTCTGCTTGTTTCATCAGTGAAATGGAACAGAGAGGTGATATTAGAGGAAACGTTAAAGGTTTGTTAAGAGGTAGCAGTGAGTTTGACGTTTCTGGCAGAGGTACTTTTGAACAATACTGCTAGGGAATAGATCTCATGAGATTTGGGATGTTTTAAAAATTAGTCAGCATTAGTATAATATTCCTTCAGAGTGTGTTTGTAATGCCCACAAGAATGTGTTGGTAGAGGGATCAGATTCCAGGATAACCTGCAGGTACTTTCTGTAGTTGACATAACACACACCTGTGTGTTCTCTTCTCTGACCTCAAAATTGTTTAGAAAGCTTCTGTCATCTGGAAGTGTGAAAAAGAGCAGATTTTTGGTTTTTTGACAAGTAGAAAAAAAATAAGTTCTAACTGGTGCTTCTAGTAAGGGCTTTGATTTGTCTCATATACTTTGAATCATTTGTAGATTTAAATCTCTCAGGTTCATGTGTTTCCTTGAAGCTTTTTAACATGCTGCAAATGAACGTCAGATAGGAAAGAGTGCTCATGTTTTTCTTTTGCTGTTGTTATTTTTGACAGAAGCATTTAGAAATCTTCTCTTGTAGTATTTAAATCGTTTGTGGGTAAGAATACTGGCAATAAAGAAAACTGACCCAATTCAGCTTTGCCTTTTACATACTGATAGGTAAATCTTTCCTTGATAACACATACTTGCTCAGATTTAGTGTCACCATAGTTGTCACTTAAGAGAAGATGTCAAGTTTCTGTAAGTCTACTTTGAACATGAAACTGCTCTGCAATAGCTTTGATAACTGAATCACTTAGCCTTTTAAAATATGTTATAATGTATTTTTCTTGTCATATTTACATTATAAGATGTTGAAGATTTTTATATTTTAGCATCTCTAGCATCCCACGTTGAGTTTCATTAAGTTCACAGATTTTTCTCTTCAAAATTAAGTTTCCTTTAGTTTGGCATCAGCAATTTATTTCTTGCAATCTATTTAATTGAATAGTTTCTGCTGTTTATCCTAAAATGTAGATAAATGGCTTTCAGCACACTGTTTATAGTTGAAAAGCTCCTGAATTGAGTCAACATTATCAGCTAGCGTCTTCATGTCATAACTAATGATCTCTCTGCTTACACTTTCCTGTTAGTGAGGAGATACTGAACTCAGCAGAGGCAGGAGCCTGGCACATTTAGGGTGGATGGATTGTTGGGATGGAACTTACTGGACAAGGTTTTTTTCTGTCTTTATTGGTGTGCAACAGGAAGAGAAATGTGTTTTTGGCCATGTTTTTACAATGTACCAAAGCTGCCACAAAGTACCACGTTCCAAGAGCCAGGGTGAAGAATTTTTAGGATGTTAACTATTAGAGAGATTTGCTTTATTCCAGATTGTCTACTTAATATCTAACACAATTTTAGTACTTTTCAGGCCATTTGACTTGATGATAGAGAATGGGAGGCACTAGAAATTTTCATATTACTGCCAAGTAGCTATTTTAATGGAGAAAGTAAATATTTTATGTCTCCTTGAAAAAGACAGAAAAAACCAAATAACTTGAATTGTTACTAATCATTTATCATAATTGGGGTCTATTCATTCTGAAAGGTCATGATGCTCTTTCTTTAGAGAAACAAAACAAAACAACTATTCAAAACAAAGTACTTTTTTAGTGAGAATCAACAGGCTTGAAGATGATAGAAGTTAAAGCTGACAATCTTTACCAACCTTTAATTATTCTGCTGGCTTTTCGCATAGAGAACAGAGCATTCTGTAGGTAAATATAGCTGGAGTACCAACTGATACATTTTGGTAAGATATTTTATTTTCTCTCATTTGTTCTTTGTGAGTGTGGAAAACTTTGTGACTGAAGTGGCTATTAAATATAGCCACTGTCTTATTTGGGAACATTTTGTTTATTTAAATAAAATGTAAGTACATATACATTTCTTATCTCTTTACTCTGATATTGAAATTTAACGTTATATACTCACCTTGCCAAAAGAATTAAGGGTGAATAAACTTAACACACACAGATACAGCTGCCATGTTGGTGTTTCCTAGAATACAAAAACATGTAGGGATAATTATTTTTCATGTAGCATCTTTCAGTTCTTTTTTGGTTGGTTGTTTTTGTGAAAGCTCATATTTATGATTTTTTTTTTAAAGGAGAAAGAAGGAAAGACATTAAGCTTAGAACAGAACATGTGGGTGAGAATGTTAGTAGTATAAATAAAGAGATATGAATTGGATACAAAATATAGGCAAAGAAAATTAAGGTAAAATCAGTGAGGCTTTCAAAGACTGGCCACGGAGGCCCTAGGTATTTACTGTAAGAAATAGAGAAAGTTAAAGTGCTGTGGGAAATGTTTTGAAAACTAAAACTGTTTGTTTATTGACAGAGGGACAGCTTAAGCAGAATGTGGCATACCCGGTTTGAAGAGGGCACAATTAGTGTAATACCATAGCTTCAATTCAGATTGTTCCTCAGTTTTCCCATCCAGAACTCAACACAATTGTCCTTTGGAATCTTCTTCCTACAGACCAAAGCAGTGATGGTTAGGTCAGAGTTGCAGGACCATTTTAATGGCCAATTAAATATAATTGAGGAAAAAAGTTTTTTTTTTCTCGTTATCAAAACTATGTATTCTAGTCTTATATATATATATATATATATATATATATATATATGACCCAGTTCAACTCTCTTATTTTACTTTGGATGTACAGACTGGAGTAATGGGAAGAGTTAGGAAAAAAACTAATTTAACATTTGTGGCACACCTTCTAAACTTGATATCCCTTCAGTGGGCCTCAGAGTGTTACTTGAAACTTGAAATTCAGTATTACCTAACACTGGTGTCTGAATGTAAGGGAAAACTATTAAGACTTGTCAAATTCCAATAAGAAAGAATTTTTCTTATGTACACAGGTATTTCTTTTGACTTTATTGGTCATAGCTATCTATTTATATATCACCTATCAATCTATCATCTCTCTATCTAGCATCTCCTATCCTAATAAAAATTATATACTGTTTGGACTGGCAAGTATTATAATTAGTATCTAAGCATCAACAAAAATATAAAAATATTAAATATATTCTTTAATATATACATTTAAGTTATATTTGAATTTTGAAGTTGATATAATTTCTTCATATCACTCTTTTGGAACATATAAATAAACACTTTTACAATCTGCTATTAGGAAAGGGTGTCTGTTTTTTGGATAAAGTTTTGGGTTATTTATTTACAGTGGTACAGATACTAGCCTCAGGGACACTTTGCATTTTTATAGGGGATCCAAAGAGAAAGAGTGAAAGTTTTGGTATGAGAAAATAGTATTCCTTTTATGACAAAAGAAGAATAACAAAATTGGTAACCTGTATGCTACTCTACAATTAGATTTTAAGGTTTCTGGGCAGAGTGGTCATTTCTTTAAGTCTTGAGTGCTTTGAGGCAGTCTGTGAATGATAGATACTTCTAAATTTGGACTTCCTCATATGCTGTCTTTTAATAAATATTCTGGCTAGTATTGTGTCACAAATACAGATTTTCTATCAAATATGTAAGTGAATCAAACCAAATGATAAGGTGGATTTGATGAAAAGACACGAGCAATGGCAGTCATCTAATCCCATCTAGTCATGTAATTACATCTAGTCATATAATTTTCTGGACATTTTGAAAGGTTCCAAATTATAAAAGGAATTTGACATGTAGCAAAGGTAACCCTTGTTAAAGGAAGTCTTCTGAATGCTGTGTAGCTGACGAGTTTGTGAAATTTTGCTAGACAATGCATGTTGAAATACTGTTCTGAATGTCAAAGCATTATAAAAATAAACTAGATATTTCAATGATAAATTATAGACATTTTTCTGCCTCTGTCATAAGAGGTAGCTTTTAACCATCTGGAAATGTTGCATAATACACTGTGGTCAGTGCCTTTCTTCTCTTATTCAAAAGTGTCTTTTCTCTTTTACCTTTCTGCTGTCACATGCCGTGGATCCTGAGCGGAGCTCAGTGCCTGGCTGGAATGATCTCTCTTGCCAGTTTATAATCAAAGAGAGGCCTGAGAGAAACAGCTGAGCTGCATTAGGCGACCACAGTCTGGACTGAGTTTCTTAACTGCTGAATAACACATCACAGGTGCAGGATTAGTGCTGCCTATGGTGCTGGGCTTTTTAGTGGGAAACTCTAGAAATTCTGTGCTGCCTCTTCTTGTGTCTCATCCCAGGAAACCTGGCAACCATATATCAAGCGTACAGAAATCAAAAGTGAGTAGTGCAAGAAGCTTTCTGTCTTACAGCCTCTTACATTCCCCTGCAAGAAATGTAAGCAAGATCTGTAAAGGCAGTTCTGGCACGAGAAAAAGCTGTTTGAACTTAGTCTTTCTTGGCATAGTGAGTGGAATACAACAATTCAGAGGGCTCAAAAATTTGATACACAAAAGTCAGATGGCAAGAAAATGCTGTTTTGTTGTACTTCCCTGGCAATGTATAATTTAGGCTACTTTTAAACAAGTGAAGTTTTTGCATGCACTATTTTAACTTTCGTGTTATGTGTGTTAGAGTGAGGGTGTGTTTACCTCTACACGTTTTCTGGTACTGTCATGGCTAAAATCAAGTTCTGTGGCTATTTAAACTCCTTGTGTATAACTTAATTATTAATAGCTTTTTGATATTTTGAGTTCTAAGGCATTCAACTCTTAATTCAGAGATTATGAAAGTCAAAGTTGCATTCTTGAAAAGAGGCATTTTTAAAAATGCAAAATTATTTTTAAAATACAAATTTAATGATGTCAATATTAGAGCAAATAAAGATTTTGAAAATACAGTGACTAAGTTATTTATTTTTGATCAAGATGGTTATGAATTATTTCAGCTAGATAAAGAATACTCTTGGAGAATGAAAGCACATGTATTTTAGCAATTTGTATCCTAGAAAACTTTACTGTCAAACATAGCAGGTAAGTGTAAAACAAACTCTGTGGATAGCATTACAAGTTTTAAATAGTTTTTTAAGTTTGCAGATTTCTTTTAAAACCCTATAGTGGCTTTCTGATATTAAGATTTGGTTTTAATTCACTGTGTTTCTAATTATCATTATTCCATATTGTTTTACCAGAGAGGCTTTTAAACTGTTAATGGTAGTAGATGAAAATAGTATATTCTAAGTTTAGTTTTATATATATATATGCTACATTTAGTACTGTAATTATTTAAAGTTGAATTAGCAATTATTTTTATGGTTTTAGATCAACATGCACCATAACTTTTATGATCAATATGCACCTTTAGTAATCATCTAATTAAAGAATACACTAAGGGTTAGAAATTGAGAGATCATTGCTTTCTAGGTTTTTTCTTTGGCTGAAAAAGAAAAGCACTGCCATGGTGATTTGGTTTCTGGTCTGTCTGGCTTCATTGTTGCTTCTCTTCTTTATCTATATGAATCTGTTCAGAGTTTTACACATCAGGGTGTCCTGGGAATGCTCTGCAAAGCTGCAGAGTAAGACTTGGGGTGATGGCAAGTTGAACATCCACTTTGATTAGCTTCAGAACTCTGTGAAGCAGAGCACTGATAGAAACTCTACTGAATAAAACCATAGCTCCTGGTTTGGAAATCGGCCAAGGCTAAATTGATTCTTTGACATTATTGTCAAAAAGACCATGGTTCAGTGTCTTTTCCAACAATGTTGACCTGAACTGACACATTTAGTACTTTAAGGTATAGAGACGTTTAAAAATTTTATGCTATCATCTGTGATTATGCTGTTTTATAGGTATGGATGCAGTGTGATGTTAAATATCTTTAAATATAACATTTACTTGCTAGTTCACTTTTTATTATGTTGATACTTTCAATAAAACTTATAACCAAATTGTATTTTAAAGTAATTTTTAAAGTTTTACATTAAAATAAGTATTTTTAAATTTAATTGTTATTATTGTTCTGGGGGTGCATTGTGACATTTACAAAAGATTTTTACAATATATCATAATTGAATTCACCCTCTCCATAATTCTCCTTTCCCCCTCCCTCCATTCCTGGAATAGCTTCAGCAGGTCTCATTTTTCCATTTACATGCATGTGTTCACAGTATTTGTACAATATTCACCCTCCTAACTCTCTCCCCACATCTCCCATCTCCCCATTGGTACCAACACCCCAGGCAGGACCTGTTCTGCCCTCCTATTCTAGAAAATGACATTTTTGTTTGTTTAAGATAGCTATACAGGGAGTTTCCTTGTGACATTTCCGTACATATGTATTAGAACCAGAATTGGCTCATCTTCTTTATTTTTCTCCTTTTTATAAGGGCAAAATAGTTTCTGCTGGGTATTGAGGGGGGGAGCGGGAGGGGGTGGAGTGGGTGGTAAGGGAGGGGGTGGGGGCAGGGGGGAGAAATGAACCAAGCCTTGTATGCACATATGAATAATAAAAGAAAAATGAAAAAAAAAATTTCTATGTTCATTCTTGTATAGGAAACACATCAACCATATTCACCTTCTTAGCTTTCTTCTTTTACCATTCCTCTCTCAGTAGTGACCTCCCCTTAGTGTGACCTGTTTTTTATAATATTGGTTGTATTTGTATTATGTCTATATTCCACATATGAGAGAGAACATACAGCCTTTGGCTTTCTGAACCTGGCTAACTTTGCTTAAGATGATGTTCTACCGTTCCATCCTTTTATCCAGAAATGACAAAATTTCATTCTTCTTTATGACTGAATAAAATTCCATTGTATATAAATACTACATTGCATTTTGGCTGTTTCTATAGCTTAGCTATTGTGAATAATGCTACAATAAACATGGGTGTGCATGTGCCTTCGGAATAATGTGAGTCGCATTCCTTCAGGTATATTCCTAGGAGTGGGATTGCTCTGTGTTCAGCTCTTTGAGGAGACTCCATACTGTTTTCCATAGTGCTTGTACTAATTTACATTCCCACCAACAGTGTATGAGGGTTCCTTTTCTCCACAACCTTACCAACATTTGTTGTTGTTTGTGTTCTTGATGGTAGTCATTCTAACAGGGGTGAGGTGGAATCTTAGCATGGTTTTGATTTACATTCCCTTTATGGCCAGGGATGTTGAACATTTCTTCATGTGTTTTTTTGGCCATAAAATAAATATTTTGGTTGAGTTTCTCTATTCAAAAGAGAAACTCTATTCTCTATTCTATTATTACAGAGCCAAAGAGAAAGGCTAGCTCTTGGTTGAACTTCAGAATATAAATATATTGAAAGAACTTTCAAGGTCACAACTGTATTAGTTCTCTGCAAAATAAATAAATACAAATGTATATGTTGTCTATTGACATTTATATACCTTTTAATCTTTTCATGATTGCCTTAAATTATGATCTGATATTACAAATAAAACAGGTGAATGATTGAAGCTTTCTTTTTTTATCCGGCTGTTTTGGGGTTTCTTGGCATGGATTTTATGATGTAAAATGTTGAAAAGCTGATCATCTAGCATAAGCTCTGTGATGTGGCAATGTGGATGTGTGAGTAAGGTGAAAAGAAAAACAATTGCCAGTAAGTAGGAAGATACACAGTTATTTTAAGATAAAGACCCTATTTTTATCACAAAACCTGTGCATCTCTTACAATTTAAAAGTAACATCCTTCTCTTAATCTACTCAGTGTCAACTATGAGCAGTTGGAATGAAAAACTGGTAGTATCCCTGATTTTACTTCCCATGTTTTCCATAAAAGATGCTGGCTGACTACTGCCACCCAGAGTAGGGGTTCCCTTTGTGCACTGCTATCTATGACTTTGTCTTAGCAACTAAATGTGACATTGTGACATCTATTTTATTGTTTTAATATACTGGTTTTTTGGGTTTCCACATGAAGTTGATTTGTCTTACCAATGAGATAGTTATTTTATTCAGGGCACAGTCAGGTATTCTGGGCAATTGTGTTATATAGATACATTTAATTATTTTTTTCTTTAAAACTCAATTTCCGCAGGAAGAAAGCAAATTAAGAATAGTATACTAGTCATCTTTGAACAAATGTCAGTGTTTCCTAAACCAAGAAACCTTATTGTGTTTTGCTCCCAATCTAGAAAGGAAGGAGGAATAAAAGGAAGTAAAATAAAACAAAAGAGAGGAGAATTGGGAAGGGGAAAAGAAAATAGAGAGAAGGAAAGGAAGAGAAGTAAAAACTTAGGAAATGAAGGAGTAGAGAAGAGGGGGAAAATGAAGATAGGAAAAGAGAAAAACCTGAAGAATAAAAACAAAAGGTTTTTTTTTAAGCAACTCAGAAAGTGCTGTCACTATATACAAGTAACTATGGTGGATGGATTACTTGGATTATTTCACCTACTCGGATTATTTCACCTACTCCTGCTGAGGAATCCGGCTACCGCCCTCATCTTCCATAGGAAGGTTCAGTTACTTGCTGAATCCCAGAACAAAGATTCCTCACCATTTCTATTCTTTCTACACCTGTGATTTTGAATCAAAATTGTATTTATAATTTCCTACTCTCCAGATCCATGATTTTATTAATGACCCATGATTTTATTAATGGTGTTTTCATGTTGTTTGTATATGTCTTTTCCCCTCAGCGTTTGCTGCCAAAAAATAGAGGACAATTTATTGGAAAATGCTTTAGTGTAGTGGAAAAGTTAGGAAATGAAAATGAAGGTCAGGGCTTTTGAACAGAAAACTTAGAGAGTAAATTACATCATTTAAAACCAAGTTAAATACATCAAGGTTTATGTGATGAAAATCAAAATCAGTTACCTGTGTAAATTCACTGTTCTATATCGCTAAAAGTATCTTTAAAATTAGTATTGGTTTTAAGCTCTGATTTGAGTTTTATTTCAGTAAAATAGACATAAAAATAAAGAACAATGTAGGTATTTAAGCTACTTTTGGTTGAGAAAGGAAATGGATGTTGACTCAACATTTATTATCATAACCATATGCATAAGAATAAGATGGATCACCCCTAAAGTGCAACAATTCATTGTTTTAACCCTTTTCTTGCACTCACCTCTACCCAAGAGAATGTGTGGACTTGTGTTTGCAAGTGCAAGTTCTGTTCTTGCTCCTGCCTGCCCTCTAGTGTAAATGTCGCAGAACAATGAGTAGTCAAAATTTTGTTAATTTTTGAGGTAGAGAATATAAAAACCAAAAATAGGAAAAAAAAAAAAGTGAGAAGAAAGAAGGATATAGCTTATTACTGGATCCTATCGCACAAAGTAATCATGTCATTTTTGATGAATTTTAAAGAAAGATTCATATTCCTA